TCCAGGATGGTCAGAGCTGTTACTCAGAGAAACCCTGTATTGGGAAAAAAAAAATGGACAAACAAAAATATCATTTTTTTTACTCTGAGAGCAGCCATCATAAAGATGCAATATAGAAGCAATTCCACAAATGCAAAGCTGACCTACTTGCTACAGCCAATACTAGAGCATTTGCTGGTTATTGGAGATTTTCACAATTAATACCGATACATAGCACTTAGGGCAGAAGGAGTGTGAACATCGCAGAGCAGAAAGAATTATTAGAAAGTAAAGAAGAAGAGTGAAGACCTTGAAAGTGGAAGAAATGTCCGGGTCACAAGAAACTGGAGAAAAACTCTAGGTGTTCTGTGTTATTAACACAGTTTTGCTAAGTGGTTTATGAACAGCACAATATTTGTTGATTTCTTGGTGGAGGATTGATTCCATTTTTATAAACTATACCATCACCATTTGAAACAGGAGGTTTTTAGATTTTCTTAAATTTTCGTGGAGAATCAGAACTTAATGTAAAAACCCTGGGGCAGAATGCCTTTAATCTACTGTATTCTTGAAAAAGAGAATAGCACTCGTACAACGCAAGGTGGCGCTGCAGGCTAAAAAAAGGAAAGGGAAAGGGAAGGGACGAAAATGCACAAAGGATAGTCTAGATTTCCGACAAAGCCTTAGGAAATGACACAGCAGTAGCAAGCGCTGGGAGAAGGTGCCTCTCTCTTTTCATTGGAAATCTTAGTGTCCTAAGGATTCTGCTGCTGGCATTCCAGGGAGCTGCTTGAGGCAAAGTGGAAGGACTTTTGGTTTTATTTTGAAAGCCTTAGAAAGAATGGAGGTCAGATTGGAGCGACCTGTGCAGAAAAGGCAAGTACTGTTTCTCTGTGTGTTTCTGGGAGCTGCTTGGGTTAGCGCCGAACAGCTTCAGTATTCTGTTGCGGAGGAAACTGAGAGGGGCACTTTCCTGGCCAATCTAGCTAAGGATTTGGGGTTGGGGCTGGAGGAACTGTCAGCTCGGGGGGCTAGAATTGTTTCAGACCAGAACACGGGCTTTTTACTGCTCAGCACGCTTACTGGAGACTTAATTCTGAATGCAAAGCTGGACCGGGAGGAGCTGTGCGGCCCCACGGAGCCCTGCGTGCTGACGTTCCAGGTGCTGTTGGAAAACCCATTTCAGATTCACCGCGCTGCACTGCATGTCAGAGATATAAATGATAATTCCCCAGTATTTCTAGACAAAGAAATTCCCTTGAAAATATCAGAAAGTGCAACTCCTGGGGCAAAGTTTCTGCTGGAGAGGGCGCTGGATTCCGATGTGGGGACGAACAGCCTGAGGAACTACACCATCAGTGCCAATGCCTATTTCCACATTCACGTGCACGATGAAGGTGACGGCACTATCTTCCCTGAACTGGTACTGGATCAAACGCTGGACCGAGAAGAAATAACAGAGTTCACCTTAACTCTCACAGCCTTAGATGGTGGATCTCCACCCAGGTCTGGGACAGCCCTGGTGCACATCCTGGTGTTGGACATAAATGACAACTCCCCTGAATTCGTGCAGTCCCTCTACAAAGTACAGTCACTTGAAAACACTCCTGTTGGCTCCTTGGTTGTTGCCGTGTCTGCTAGAGATTTAGACACGGGAAGTTACGGACAGATAGCATACGCATTTTTTTATGCCACCGAAAGAATTCTCCAAACGTTTCAGATCAACTCTACGACTGGCGATCTTTATCTTAAAGGTGAACTCAACTACGAAGCAATTCAGACTTACTCGATAACGATACAGGCCAAAGATGGCGGGGGACTTTCTGGAAAATGCACTGTGGTTGTAGAGGTAATGGATGAAAACGATAACGCACCTGAACTTCTCATGTCCTCGCTTACCAGCCCGATTGCGGAGAACTCACCAGAGACAGTCGTTGCTGTTTTCAGAATTCGAGACAGAGATTCGGGAAACAATGGGAAAACCATGTGCTCCATTCCGCATGATCTCCCCTTTGTCCTGAAGCCATCTGTGGAAAACTTCTATACTCTAGTAACAGAGACGCCTTTAGATAGAGAATCGCAAAGCCAGTACAATGTCACCATCACAGTCACCGACATGGGCACACCCAGGCTCACAACCCAGCACACCATAACAGTAGAGGTCTCTGATATCAACGACAACGCCCCAGCCTTCACACAAAGCTCCTACACCCTGTTTGTCCAAGAGAACAACAGCCCCGCCCTGCACATAGGCACCATCAGCGCCACAGACTCAGACTCAGGCTCCAATGCCCACATCACCTACTCGCTGCTGCCCACCCACGACCCGCAGCTGGATCTCTCCTCGCTCATCTCCATCAATGCCGACAACGGGCAGCTGTTCGCCCTCAGGGCGCTGGACTACGAGGTCCTGAAGACCTTCAAGTTCCTCGTGGGCGCCACAGACCAAGGCTCGCCTGCGCTCAGCAGCCAGGCGCTGGTGCACATCCAGATTCTGGACGCCAACGACAATGCGCCCTTCGTGCTCTACCCACTGCAGAACGCCTCTGCGCCCTTCACAGACTTGCTGCCCAGGGCGGCAGAGCCTGGATACCTGGTCACCAAGGTGGTGGCTGTGGACCGCGACTCTGGCCAGAATGCCTGGCTGTCGTTCCAGCTGCTCAAGGCCACGGAACCAGGACTGTTAAGCGTGTGGGCTCACAATGGCGAGGTGCGCACCTCCAGGCTGCTGAGTGAGCGCGATGCGCCCAAGCACAGGCTGCTGCTGCTGGTCAAGGACAATGGCGATCCTCCGCGGTCTGCCAGTGTCACTCTGCACGTGCTGGTGGTGGATGGCTTCTCTCAGCCCTTCCTGCCTCTACCGGAGGTGGCACGAGACCCCGCCCAAGAAGAGGATGCGCTCACGCTATACCTGGTCATTGCCTTGGCATCTGTGTCTTCGCTCTTCCTCTTGTCTGTGCTTCTGTTCGTGGGAGTGAGGCTGTGCAGGAGATCCAGGGCGTCCTCTCTGGGTGGCTGCTCTGTGCCTGAGGGACACTTTCCTGGTCACCTGGTGGATGTCAGTGGGACAGGGACTCTGTCTCACAGCTACCAATATGAGGTGTGTCTGACTGGAGAGTCAGGGATAACCAGCGAATTTAATTTCCTAAAGCCAATTGCCCCCAACTTCTTAACCGAAAACACAGGGAGAGAAGTGGACTAAAAGCTAAGCCCTTTTGCCTGGGGATACAGCCCTAGTTTAAAGCAAGCCCTTGCTGCCTGTAGGGGAATTATTTTATATTAACATCGTGAAGTTAGTTAAATTAGTTCAGAAAAGAACTCCTTTGCTTATTCCCAAGAACTTTCCCTCGTGCATGAAATTCATGTGGTGTGAGCTATCTAAAATTTGATTTGACTCCTCTTTGTTTCTAAGCATTTGTTGAATTGTGGCCTCTTCAATGACAAATCTTGCTAGGGGTGGTTTAAACGGTTTTTCCATCATCTAATTTATTCATTGATATTTATGTTCCAAGTCGAATGAGGTCGAAAAATCCCTGCCTTACATTTGGGGAGGTTATACTCCACAGAATTCCCTTACGTTTCTTTAGTAATTACTGTTCATCTTACATAACTCCATCACTCTTTGGAGACATGGTCCCTCTGTGTCGAGGATAGCTGTGAACTGTCGATCCTCCTGCCTCAGACTCCAGTGCTAGCATTTTAGGTATCAGTCTATGTTGTTACTTTATTTCAGAAGAAACTGATGAGTAGAGGTTTTTCAGTAATGAGCAAGTAGACGTTCATAGAGGCTTGGTAAGTGCCACGATTACTAACAGGCAAAGCAGAGCACCTCCTAATTCCTTCTGCTTTATTTTTCTTGTTTGACGTGTTAGAGAGTCCTCATTCTGTCCATCTCCAGGCAGGTGAGTCTGCAACAGTAGTATGCTATTCTCTGTCACTAGGTATCATCTGTGGCACTCACCCTGCTCACCAGTCTCTCCTGTGTTCAGACACAGCAATACTCCTCTTGGCCTGTGGTCTTATTTCCTTATAACCCCACAATCCCTCTTTGGAGGTTCATTACCTAACTATTATTAAAGTTCTGACTTAACTAACTCTCAAGTTCCAAAAAGTTGGGTTCTGGCATGGCACAACATGCCTTTAATCCCAGCACATGGGAGGCAGACACAAGAGGATCACTATGAGTCTGAGTGAAATGTCCATGATAGCCAAGGCTGCACTGAGAGACCCTGCAGAGAGGAGGGGGGGGGGAAGGGGAGAAGGAGGAAGTTTTTCTACATTAGATTTCCATATATTTTTGGGTTACTCTCCCTCCACATCTGTTTCCCATTTGTAATATGGGAGTTCACAAAAATCCTGGAACCTAGATGCTGATATCTCACTGTAGATGAGGAAACTAAGGCAGAAAAGTTAAATAATTTGTCCAAGGATCACAACTGTTTCTGTGGTTCTTCACACTAAAGGTCTATAATTCCTCCAACTTTGTTCCTAGAAACATACATGCACACACTTAAGTATATATTCCTTGCATATATTTTTCCTTCCAGGCTGTTATTTAAATATGTATCCTTTGTTCAAATCTCAGTTAGCATTATTTAAAGAATCTCCACCCATGCCATTTCTCTTGTGAGGCTTTCAGGCAGTTGTCTGCCCAAGAAGGCAAAGCAATAGGAGAGGTAATGCAACCTTACCTTGCCCACTGCCAGATACAGGCAATTTTAGATTTTTTTACATCAATTTTCATTCCACGAAATGTTAAGATACAATGAGAACGCTTGGTGGCGCTGCAGGATAAGAAAGTAAAAGTAAAAGGCAGCTGTGGAGGAAAAAAAGGAAAAGAAAAAAAATTGCTGAAGCCTGGAAGCCCAGAGACGCTCGGACACCTCAGAGAGGAGGTCTGCGCCCTCGGGAAAGGACTGGAGTGATTCTCAGGTATCTAGCGAGATAACTACAGTACCAGATACCAGCAGAATTTACAGTTGTGCTGAAACATCCTCCAGGACGTTCGCTGCTCCAGCACAAACAATGGAGGCCAGCAGGAAGCTCACTGGCAGACAAAGGCAAGTCCTTTTTTTCTTTTTCCTATTAGGATTATGTCTGGCGAGTGCAGGGGAACTGAAGCGCTATTCTGTGGAGGAGGAAAGGGAGGGTAGGTCCTTTGTAACCAATTTAGTAAATGACCTAGGTCTTGGGCAGATGGAGTTCTCCAGACGAGGGGCTAAGGTCATTTCTAAAGGGAACAAACTACATTTGCAGCTGGATCGGGAGACAGGAGATTTGCTCTTAACTGAGAAAGTGGACCGGGAGGAACTGTGTGGGCACACGGAGCCATGCCTGCTACGTTTCCAAGTGTTGCTAGACAATCCCTTAGAGATTTTTCAAGCTGAGCTAGAAGTAAGAGACATAAATGACCATTCTCCAGCATTCATGGACAAAGAAATCTTGCTAAAGATATCAGAAAGCAGTCTTCCTGGGACTATATTTCCTCTGAAGAACGCTCAAGACATAGATGTAGGTCAAAATGGTATTGATAACTACCATATCAGTTCCAATTCCTATTTTCATGTGCTCACTCGAAAACGCAGCGATGGCAAGAAATATCCTGAGCTGGTTCTAGACAGAGCTCTGGATAGAGAGGAGGAAGCTGAGCTCAAGTTAATCCTCACAGCTCAGGATGGCGGCTCGCCACCTAGGTCTGGCACCACTGAGGTCCACATTGAAGTCCTGGACTTCAATGACAATGCTCCCCAGTTTGAACAGCTTTCTTACAGGGTACAGATCCCAGAGGATAGTCCAATAGGCTTTCTGGTCGTCACCGTTTCCGCTATGGATAAGGACATAGGAGTCAATGGGGAGATCTCCTATTCCCTTTTCCAGGCCTCAGATGACATCAGCAAAACCTTTTCAATCCACCCCTTGACTGGGGAAGTGCGGCTGAGAGAGCAACTCGATTTTGAAAAGACTCAGTTCTATGAAGTCAATGTTGAGGCCAGGGACGCTGGAACCGTTTCTGGAAAATGCACGATTCTGACCCAAGTCATAGATGTGAATGACCATGCTCCAGAGATTATCCTGTCTGCAATTACCAACCCCATCCCTGAGAATTTGCCAGAAACTATGGTGGCAGTGTTTAGTGTATCTGATCTAGATTCAGGAGAAAACGGCAAAACAAGTTGTTCCATTCAGGAAGATCTACCTTTCTTCCTAAAGCCTTCTGGAGAAAACTTTTACACACTATTAACACAGAACGCACTTGACAGAGAGACTACGGCAGAATACAACATCACCATAAGTGTTGCAGACATGGGGAGTCCCATACTGAGAACACAAGTCAATATAACAGTGCAGGTCTCAGACATCAACGACAACGCCCCCGCCTTCACTCAAACCTCCTACACACTCTTTGTCCAAGAGAACAACAGCCCCGCCCTGCACATAGGCACCATCAGCGCCACAGACTCAGACTCAGGCTCCAATGCTCACATCACCTACTCGCTGCTGCCCACTCACGACCCGCAGCTGGATCTCGCCTCGCTCATCTCCATCAATGCCGACAATGGACAGCTGTTCGCCCTCAGGGCGCTGGACTACGAGGCCCTGAAGACCTTTGAGTTTCATGTGGGCGCCACAGACCAAGGCTCGCCCGCACTCAGCAGCCAGGCGCTGGTGCGCGTGCTGGTGCTGGATGCCAACGACAATGCGCCCTTCGTGCTCTACCCGCTGCAGAACGCCTCTGCGCCCTACACAGAGCTGCTGCCCAGGGCTGCAGAGCCAGGCTATCTGGTCACCAAGGTGGTGGCCGTGGATCACGACTCTGGCCAGAATGCCTGGCTGTCGTTCCAGCTGCTCAAGGCCACGGAGCCGGGACTGTTCAACGTGTGGGCTCACAATGGCGAGGTGCGCACCTCCAGGCTGCTGAGTGAGCGCGCTGCGCCCAAGCACAGGCTGCTGCTGCTGGTCAAGGACAATGGCGATCCTCCGCGGTCTGCCAGTGTTACTTTGCACGTGCTGGTGGTGGATGGCTTCTCTCAGCCCTACCTGCCTCTGCCAGAGGTGGCGCGCGACCCCACACAGGAGGAAGACGTGCTCACGCTGTACCTGGTCATAGCCTTGGCATCTGTGTCTTCACTCTTCCTGTTGTCTGTGCTGCTGTTTGTGGGGGTGAGGCTGTGCAGGAGAGCCAGGGCGTCCTCTCTGGGTGGCTGCTCTGTGCCTGAAGGACACTTTCCTGCCCACCTGGTGGATGTCAGCGGGGCGGGGACCCTGTCCCAGAGCTACCAGTATGAGGTGTGTCTGACAGGGGACTCTGGAACTGGTGAGTTCAAATTCCTGAAACCAATTTTACCTAATTTCCAAGACCATCCTCTTGGACCAGAAATGGGTGAAAATTCCAACTGTAGAAACGACTGGGGTTTCGGCATTCAGTTAAAATAGCTTTTTTTTTTTTTTAAATCATGTGTAGTGTATTGTTGTTGTTAGCTCAAACTACTATTCTTGCTGTGCCCATCATGAACATTTGAAGCCTGCCAAAAGCTTGTTTGCAGCATATTCCGGCCGTCGTTTTAGTGAGGCTGTCTCATCTTTTCTCCAGATCGAAATGTTCCAATCTTGTCTTTCTAATGTGTCTCTTTTCGTACAAATCTTGCTGTGGGATAGCTTAGGAGTGTACCAGAGAGGAAGTGGAAAATCAGTTCAACCCAATCAGAGGCAGTTCAGTGTGTACTCTTCCCAGTTGTTAGCCATTGCATACACAATACACAGCGTTTCTGGGATGCAAGGAGATCTAATCAGAAATGGGAACGAAGGGGCACCGAAGGGCCTGGCTTTTGCTTTATTTGGCCTCCACTGAACTAACTTCGATGTTGGTGTCGTCATTAAAAAATGTTCCCTAGCTGCATGGCTCTTCATTAGCCTGTTGTTGCTTTTAATATCACTGTTTTAAACTGCTTTCTGCTGCATTTTGTTGGTATGGAGGAGGATTCAGAAAGCCGCCCCCTATTTTCCTGGTAAGCTGAAACAGTGTGGCTGTAAAATTGGCTTTTCTCTCCTGAGAAATATTTGCGCGTACCAATACCCATTCTTTTCCCCCTTTCTTTTTTTGCATTTTTGTTTTTGTGTTTGTTTGTTTGGGACAGGGATTCTCTGTGTAACAGTCCTGGCTGTCCTGGAACTCAATTTGTAGACCAGGTGGAGTACCACTGATATTTCAATCTCCAAGAACACTATTAAAGGGAGGTGTCTCATGTGAAAGTTGATTTTCACCTTTTCCACCTGTGATGTGGTTCTCAACCTGTGGTTCTCTATCCCTCTGGGGTCACATATCAGATATCCTGCCTGCCAGATACTTACATTAATATTTACAACACTAGCAATATTACAGTTATGAAGTAGCCGCAAAATAATTTTTTGGGTGGGGGTCACCACAACATGAGGAACTGTAAAGGGTCACAGCATTATTAGAAAGTTGAGAACCACTGCTTTACCACTACGTCCTCCCTGGGATGTGTACAGTATGCTGAGTTCACAAATAACCCTGGAGGATCTGGGATAGCAATGGTGGGCTAAAATAGTGGGGATGAGCTTAAAAGAGACAGCATCCCTGGTGACTAAGGAATTGTCACATCATTCCCTGTGCTGCCAATTTCTGATTATATGTAGGTGTGTCTGCATGCGGGTGTGCACATATGAGTGCAGGTACCCTCAGAGGACAGAGGCATTGGATCCCTTTGATCTGGAGCACAGAAGGCTCCGAGCTGCCTGTCCTGGATTTTGAAGACCAAACTCAGGTCCTCTGCAAAAGCAACAAGTACTCTCAACCACAGAGCAGTCTCTCCAGACTTTAATTATATTTTAAATATTTTCCCAAACCCTATGTGGGTTACAATTATTCCTCTTCGTGTGTGTGTGTTTGTGTGTGTGTAGCAATGCCACTTGTTGTCAAATGAAGATACATAAAAATCATTATAACAAGAGTTTAGGTTTAATTGGCTTGAGGAATCCAACTAACAACTTCTAGAGCCATTAGCAAAAACAATGAATTAATAAGGGTATCAATGTCTATGTGGTACTGAAGTTCAAATCCCGAGTCTCGTGCATGTTAAATGTTCTCTATCACTGAACTTTCTGCCCTGCTCTTCGTGAATTTTCACTGCAATTCAATTCAAACTATAAGAACAGAAAATCTAAACAAAAGAATACAAAGATAATCCAAGCTTACAATATAGAATTTAAACTCTATCTTTAAATTTAAATAGAATTTAATATAATAAATTTAAGTCTATTTTTAAACTCTCAGTACTCAGTTATTAAAAGATGAACAATTCAATAAAACAAGCAAAGACCAGAATAGATATTTTCCGAAGAACATATACCAATGATTAGTGTGCACCCGAAAAGCTATACAACATCGCTCATCAAATAAACATCACAGCAAGACACTCGGAACTCCTAGGATGGCAAGGACCAAAAAGAGCCAGATCAGTGTTGGGAGGCTGTCATAATTTTGAAACCCTGACACATGACTGAAGAAATGGAAAATGCTGCAGCCATTTTTTGAAAACATCCTGTCAGTTTTTCAAATGGGCAAACATAGAGTCATCAGGGGTTAAGCGATTCAACTCCTAGAGAAATAATGTATGTAATATACCTGAGGTGGGCTGTGGTGGTGCTCACTTTTGGGGATCCAGAGGCAGGTAGATCTGAGTTTGAGGCTAGCCTGCTCTACAGGCCTAATTCCAGGACATCCAAGGCTACAGAGAGAAACCCTAGCTCAGAAAACCAAATGTGTGTGTATACATATATGAATCTTCATAGCAACATTGTTTGTGAAAATCAAAAGGGTAGAAACATTCCAAATGCCCAAATAAACATGAGCCTGCTATAGCCAGGAAAAGTAATGAAATACTGACACATGCTAGAATTTGGACGAACCTTTAAACCATCAGGGCAAGGGAGGGAAGCTGACCAGCCTCAGAGGTCCTCATATTCCGTCATTCCATTCGTGTGGAAGTCCACAATAGAGAACTCTGTCTAGACCAAAAGAGGAGACTAATGATTCCTTTGGGCTCTGCTCAGGAGAAACGAGAAAATAAGATGGTCGTTAAGGGATGTGAGGTACTTCTTTGATGTAAGATATACAGTCCAGAACTGACCTTGGTGATGGGTGCACCACTTTGTGTATATATTAAAAGGCTCTAAGTTTTAAACCTTAAATGAATGCATTCAATTATATGTTATATCCCAAAGCTGTATATTAGAAAAAGCAACATTATTCTTGCCAAATATAAAAATAAATCTAGGCCCACATAAGTCTATTTATGAAATGATTTTCTGGTAACTGAACATTGGGAAGACTTACAATTCTTTCCCTTGGATATTGGAGAGAAGGAATCCATTTGTTCTTTAATAAAGCACGTCTACACTCTATACACTGGCTGGAATTTTGCATTGTCTACTCATTTGTGACTCTAGTGTGTATGTTGAAAATGTGTGTACGTGGAACATTCGCTGTGCTACCTTCGAAACTTTACCCCTCAATGCAAATGTTACTTACGCTACCTTATTTAGTCATTGACATCGGCAGCGTTACATACCCAATACCATGAATGAAAATTTATTTTTGTATTTAGTTTGATATAGTACCTCAGTAATGTATTTATACACACAAAAGTAACTTGAAAAAAGTTAGTGATTCACATTATATAACTTAATCCACATGTCTTGGAGAATTTTGTCTCTTGTTAAATCTGAACCTGTAAGGCCCAGTGAGACCGCGCGGTGGCGCTGCAGGCTAAGAAGACAGCGCATAAGAATTGCTTCTGCAGTCGCCTTCTCAGGGCCAGTTTCTCACCACCTAGAAGCAAAAGATAAGCTCTTCCGGCAAAGCAAAGGCGCGTGTAAACCTTAAATATTCGATTTGGAGGCTTGATTCTGACGTTCTGGACTGTGAGACAGTGCTGTTAGGATCCTGGGCATATGTGAAGCTACGGTGGAGCAAACAGGAAAGAGGAAAGAGCCATGGAGACTGCGTGGATGCACAAACTGAGACAAAGGCAAGTCCTGGCTTTCTTTGTTTTGCTGAGTGTGTCTGAGGCAGGCAGGGAGCTGGGTCCCTATTCCATAGAGGAAGAGATGGAGAGGGGCTCCTTTGTGGCAAATCTTGGGAAAGATCTGGGGGTGGAACTGGCAGAGATATCCACCCGCAGGGCTCGGATCATTTCCCGGGAAAACAGAGAGCACCTGCAGATCAATGTTCAGTCTGGAGATTTGCTCCTAAGTGAGAAGCTAGATCGAGAGGAGCTATGCGGCTCCACTGAGCCTTGTGTTCTGCACTTCCAAGTGTTAATGGAAAACCCTTTGGAGGTATTTCAGGCTGAACTGAGGGTGAGGGACATAAATGACCACTCTCCAGTGTTCACTGAAAAAGAAATGATGCTGAGGATACCAGAAAACAGTGCTCTGGGAACCACATTCCCTTTAAATAATGCTCTGGACTCAGACGTAGAAATTAACAATGTTCAGAGCTATCAAGTCAGCTCGAACTCTCATTTCCTGGTTGTCACCCGCAACCGCAGTGATGGCAGGAAGTACCCAGAGCTGGTGCTGGAGAAAGAACTGGATCGGGAGGAGGAGCCTGAGCTGAGGTTTACCCTGATAGCCTTGGATGGTGGCTCTCCTCCCCGGTCTGGGATGGCGCGGGTTCTCATTGAAGTAGTGGACACCAACGATAATGCACCCGAGTTTCAGCAGTCAACTTACCAAGTGCAAATTCCGGAGAACCGCCCCCCGGGGTCCCTGGTCGTCACAGTCTCAGCCAATGACTTAGACAGTGGAGATAATGCGAAAGTATTGTACGCACTCTCTCAGCCTTCAGAAGATATCAGCAAGACATTAGAAGTAAATCCAGTAACGGGGGAAGTTCGGCTACGAAAAAAGGTAGATTTTGAAACAATTCCCTCTTATGAAGTGGATATCAAGGCCACGGATGGGGGAGGTCTCTCGGGGAAATGCACGCTGCTCCTGCAGGTGGTGGATGTGAACGACAACCCCCCAGAAGTGATGCTATCTGCACTTACCAGCCCAGTTCAAGAAAACTCCCCGGATGAGGTAGTTGCTGTTTTCAGTGTTGGAGATGCTGACTCAGGGAACAATGGGAAGGTGATTTCCGCCATCCAAGAGGACCTTCCCTTTCTTCTAAAACCTTCAGGAAAGAACTTTTACACTTTAATAACGAAGAGAGCATTAGACAGGGAAGAAAAAGAGCAGTACAACATCACCATCACAGTCAGCGACCTGGGCACACCCCGGCTCACAACCCAGCACACCATAACAGTGCAGGTGTCTGACGTCAACGACAACGCCCCCGCCTTCACACAAAGCTCCTACACCCTGTTTGTCCAGGAGAACAACAGTCCTGCCCTGCACATAGGCACCATCAGCGCCACAGACTCAGACTCAGGCTCCAATGCCCACATCACCTACTCGCTGCTGCCCACCACAGACCCGCAGCTGGACCTCTCCTCGCTCATCTCCATCAATGCCGACAACGGACAGCTGTTCGCCCTCAGGGCGCTGGACTATGAGGCCCTGCAGAGCTTCGAGTTTCGCGTGGGCGCCACAGACCAAGGCTCGCCCGCGCTCAGCAGCCAGGCGCTAGTGCGCGTGCTGGTGCTGGACGCCAACGACAATGCGCCCTTCGTGCTCTACCCGCTGCAGAACGCCTCTGCGCCCTTCACAGAGCTGCTGCCCAGGGCTGCAGAGCCTGGCTACCTGGTCACCAAGGTGGTGGCAGTGGACCGCGACTCTGGCCAGAATGCCTGGCTGTCGTTCCAGCTGCTGAAGGCCACGGAGCCAGGGTTGTTCAGCGTGTGGGCTCACAATGGCGAGGTGCGCACCTCCAGGCTGCTGAGTGAGCGCGATGCGCCCAAGCACAGGCTGCTGCTGCTGGTCAAGGACAATGGCGATCCTCCGCGGTCTGCCAGTGTCACTCTGCATGTGCTGATGGTGGATGGCTTCTCTCAGCCCTACCTGCCTCTGCCAGAGGTGGCGCGCGACCCCGCCCAAGATGAGGATGAGCTCACGCTGTACCTGGTCATAGCCTTGGCATCTGTGTCTTCGCTCTTACTCTTGTCTGTGCTGCTGTTTGTGGGAGTGAGGCTGTGCAGGAGGGCCAGAGCATCCTCTCTGGGTGGCTGCTCTGTGCCTGATGGCCATTTTCCTGGTCACCTGGTGGATGTCAGCGGAACAGGGACTCTGTCCCAGAGCTACCAGTATGAGGTATGTCTGATGGGCGATTCTTCTGGGACCAGCGATTTTAAATTCTTACAGCCAGTTCTTCCTAGCTCCTTGGCCCAGTCCTCTGGAAAAGAAATGGTGGAAAATTCTACCCTCCAGAATAGTTTTGGATTTAATCATTATTAGAAAACTATTTAATAGATATTTACTTCCTAATATTGTCTTGTTCGTTAGCTATATTTGTATACCTGTTACTAACAATTTTAATTTTCACTTTACTCATCGGTTTTCAGGTTTATGCTTAATGCCATGGTTTTACTCTTATTTATGGCACAGAATTTCTTCATGGGATCCCAGTAAATGAGAAGGCTTTATCTGCACAGTTAAACTGATTGTTAAAATTGTTTCTACCACTTTGCTGTTGATGGCTTCATTAGTTCTGCACATTTCACGTCAGTGTTCTGTTCCTAGACTTCTGGGATTATTAAAATATGATGCTGCTTGTTATGTTCATATATACTGGGTATTTCTGCATTTCCTTTCTACACTGGAAGTCTTGTTTTTTAGTCTTTGTTGTTCATTATATATAATAGCTGTTTTATACTGTGCTAGTATATTAAAGTTTTATTTTTCTTTGTTTATATGTCTTGATTAAGATCTATTTCTGTCAAAGTAATAGAAGCATGTAGTCAATTTGAAAACAAAAGTATCATAAGATAGTGAGTTTGTGTTGATTGCCTTTATTTGTGGGCATGAAGGCAAATGTTGGCATTATAAAGCGTCAAATAAGAGCATTTAATAATTTGTTTTAATTCTGCATGGAAACCTTAGAGATAGACATTGAGTTTTCAGTGGCTTACAATCCAGTTGCATTCTTTTGAATAAACAGTGTATTATATCACCAAGTACCTCTTGTGACTTTTCTATGCAACAGAGCTGGGGTCTGAGGCACTATCTAATCTTGTACATCTACACGTCTTAAGATTTAATCTCTATCATTTGCTTATAGTGGAAAAGAGAACATTTTAGGCCTTTGAATAAAATTTTTGTAAGGAAGATATTTTGTTGATATACCCCTGCATTCAACATCATCAGAATATGTGGTAGTCATAGTTTTGTTCTTCTTTTATTTCAGGTATAGTAATTAGATCATATTAGATTTCACTAAGAGGGACATTTAAACAAAGATGGGGCTTGCGTTCAGCTGTATAATGATGGCTGTTATAAGAATAAAGACAAATGAAAGAACAGGAATAGAAATTTCAAAGTATGAGTAAGTGAAATAATATGATTTTCGAACGATACGTACAGGATATTGCCTGTTTGTTGTCCCCGATAGTTCATTCGTGTGTACTCCGACTCAATAAACATTAGTGACTGAATGACTTGCCAAAGGTAACAGTTCCCATCCCAAGCAGATCACACATTGAAGGAGAGGTAGACTCTTACAAAGCTGGGAGCAATGTTATTTACATAACAAACATAATCATGTACATGTCACGTGGTAGAACGGATCCTGGGGCCCTGAGGGGGGATGGTATGATCGTCCACTTCTGGATGCAGAGTACTGCTTCGTTTTAAGGAATGTGATACAGTTTAAATAAGGTTTCTGAGGAATGTGTCAAACATCCCTTTTGCCTGTTTCTTGTGTCCCTTGCTGCGGTTTCCAGAACTATGAAATACGTTATCAAAAGACATGTTCACAATTTTTTCCTTAGCTTGCACGAGGCTGTGCCGGAGACGAAAGGACTTACATGGAGTTAAGTAGCAGAGGGGAAAAAAAGGGGAGTGCCATAAACCTTCAGTTCAACTGTTAGAATTTTAACTTTCCCACGCAGCTGAGAAGACTCAGTATGAATGGATCTCTATCTCAGCATAATTTTCACAAAACAAAGAAAAGGAAAAATGGAAAATAAAATAAGCCAATGCAGAAAATATTTAATAAATATATATGCGTGAACACATAAGACCAGGAAACAGCATTTTTCAATCTGTTGGTGGCCACATGGTGGCGCTGCAGGCTAAAGAGACGCAAGGAAAATTTAACTGAGGCTGCACCCGAAGTCACAAGACAAAAAAGGAAAATCCTGACCGCTGGGACAGAAGCTGAGGCTCCTCAAGACTGAGGAAGGAAGAAAATATCCTAGATCCTTCCATCTAAGTGGAACGTCTGAGGTTTATGACCGCTGAGAGCTGTGGCTGGGACCTGTAGTGAGGAAAGAAGAAATAATGGCAGCCAGAGGGTCACGCTTCCCCAGACAAAGGCAAGTGCTATTGTTTCTCTTTCTGTTCTGGGAACTGTGTTTGGCAGGCTCTAAGTTTGCACGTTATTCTGTAACAGAGGAAACAGAAAGGGGATCATTTGTGGCGAATCTGGCAAAGGAATTGGGGCTAGGGGTGGAAGCGCTGGCTGCAAAGAGAACTAGGGTGGTTTCTGATGGTAACAAACAGCGTTTGCTCCTGGATTTTCACACTGGAGATTTGCTCACAAATGAGAAACTGGACCGGGAGAAGCTGTGTGGCTCCACAGAGCCCTGCATACTCTATTTCCAAATTTTAATGGATAACCCCTTTCAGATTTACCGGGCTGAGCTGAGAATTGTGGATATAAATGATCACTCACCCACCTTCCAGGACAAAGAGATGATTTTAAAAATACCAGAAATCACAGCCGTAGGAGCAGCATTTCGATTACAAAGAGCACTAGACTCAGATGCAGGACGCAATGGCGTCCAAAACTACACCATCAGCCCCAACTCGCCTTTTCATATTACAATTCATGACAGCGACGAAGGGGTGATATACCCAGAGCTGGTGCTAGACAAACCTCTCGATTGGGAAGAGGAGCGGGAGTTCAGGTTAACACTCACCGCATTTGATGGCGGGTCTCCGCCCAGGTCAGGAACAGCCACTGTACATATTCTGGTCTTGGACATCAATGACAATGCCCCGCAGTTTTCCCAGGAACTTTATCAAACCCAGGCTCCAGAAAATAGCCCTGTAGGACTTCCTCTCGTTAAAGTCTCTGCAGAAGATGTGGACTCAGGAGTCAATGCAGAAGTATCCTATTCGTTTTTTGATGCTTCCGAAGATATCCGAGCAACCTTCCAAATCAACCCTTTCTCGGGGGAAATCGTGCTCAAAGCCTTGCTTGATTATGAGTTAGTAAAGTCCTATAAGTTAAATATACAGGCAGTTGATGGTGGAGGCCTTTCTGCTAGATGTACGGTTTTAGTTCATGTTTTAGACATCAATGACAACTCCCCAGAACTGATCATATCATCACTAGTCAACGAAGTTGTTGAGAACTCTCCCGAAACCGTGCTGGCAGTTTTTAGGATCAACGACAGAGACTCTGGAGAAAATGGAAAGACCGTTTGCTACATTCAAGAAAATCTGCCTTTCCTTCTAAGACCTTCTGTAGACAATTTTTACATCCTAATGACAGAAGGAGCTCTGGATAGAGAGACCAGATCACAATACAACATCACCGTCACAGTCACGGACACGGGCACACCCAGGCTCATGACCCAGCACACCATAACAGTGCAGGTCTCTGACGTCAACGACAACGCCCCCGCCTTCACACAAAGCTCCTACACCCTGTTTGTCCATGAGAAAAACAGCCCCGCCCTGCACATAGGCACCATCAGCGCCACAGACTCAGACTCAGGCTCCAATGCCCACATCACCTACTCGCTGCTGCCAACCCACGACCCACAGCTGGATCTTGCCTCACTCATCTCCATCAACGCCGACAATGGACAGCTGTTCGCGCTCAGGGCGCTGGACTATGAGGCTCTGCAAACCTTTGAGTTCCGCGTGGGCGCCACAGACCAAGGCTCACCCGCGCTCAGCAGCCAGGCGCTGGTGCGCGTGCAGGTGCTGGACGCCAACGACAATGCGCCCTTCGTGCTCTACCCGCTGCAGAACGCCTCTGCGCCCTTCACAGAGCTGCTGCCCAGGGCGGCAGAGCCAGGCTATCTGGTCACCAAGGTGGTGGCTGTGGACCGCGACTCTGGCCAGAATGCCTGGCTGTCGTTCCAGCTGCTCAAGGCCACGGAACCCGGACTGTTTAGCGTGTGGGCTCACAATGGCGAGGTGCGCACCTCCAGGCTGCTGAGTGAGCGCGATGCGCCCAAGCACAGGCTGCTGCTGCTGGTCAAGGACAATGGCGATCCCCTGAGGTCTGCCAGTGTCACTCTGCAAGTGCTGATGGTGGATGGCTTCTCTCAGCCCTACCTGCCTCTGCCAGAGGTGGCGCGCGACCCAACACAAGAAGAAGAAGAGCTCACGCTGTACCTGGTCATCGCCTTGGCGTCTGTGTCTTCTCTCTTCCTGTTGTCTGTGCTGCTGTTTGTGGGGGTGAGGCTGTGCAGGAGGGCCAGGACATCCTCGCTCAGGGCCTGCTCCGTGCCTGAGGGCCACTTTCCTGGCCACCTGGTGGATGTCAGCGGCATGGGCACTCTGTCCCAAAGCTACCAATATGATGTGTGTCTGATGGGAGGCTCTTCTGATACCAATGATTTCAAGTTCCTGAAACCAATAATACATCCCGATGTTCATGCTCATGGCTCCCAGAGCAATGGTGAAGAAAAGCCCATATTTTGACGTCTCTACTTTTGAGTATGTTCCATCCATTTAATGTATGGTACAGCCATATGAATGCTAGTTTAGTTGTGCAGTAGTTGCAACCCATGACGACACAACCTCATTTTCAACCTGCAAGTAGGTCGCGTTTACATTCTTCCAATGTTTTTACAGTAGTGATTATTTTTAATAGAATATGTGCCACTTTGAGTTTTAGTTATGGTTCTTTCATAGCGCACAATAATTTGATGTTATTTCTCATTACAAAAAATTGAGATTTGGGGATTTTATTGTTTTCTTTTCTTTTCTTACTAATCACTAATCCAAGTCTTTTGCATGCCAAGCAAATGCCCTGCCACTAAGCTCTACCTCTAGCTAGTCATTTTTTAAAAGTCTAGGATTTTAACTCTTTGACTTTGACAATTCCATGCATCTATGTCATGCATTTTGTTTTTTTATAACCTCCTGCTCCGTCTTCCTGCAACTCCCATTACTTCCCTTGCTCCCTCCCCATTGTTTATGATTTTGAATATTCTGGCGATTCCCGTGTATTTAATGGGTTTCAGCATGACTTCCGCAAACAGAGGTTTCATTCATTCCTAACCTCTGCAGTTCCCCTGGTTCCCTTCCTTCTCCCTGCCGGTCCCCCATTCTGCTTTCTGTCACAGCTATTTCATTACCCTTTCTCTCCTTCCCCAAGAGCTATTTCTGGTGTTCATGCTTGCTGTCATATAAAACAGATTGTGTCATGTAATGCAAATACAGTGTGATAACCTGCATGAAAATCAACATAAATTTGAATACATTTACATTTCTGTGTGATAATATTTATGGACTGTTGGAAACATACTTTTCATTTTATATTGATACCTAAAGAACTGTCCAATTTAGAAATTGAGATAAATTAAAGGTTATAGAAAAAAATAATTTTGATCTCCAGCCCCTTTCTACACAGTTCTTCAAGTGTGATCTGCTTCCAGGTGATGTGTTTAGATGGCTTTATCTTGATAATCAACTTTTATGTGTTACCCACTCATTACAAAATGATTTACAGTTCTTATTTCCCATTAATAGACACACACACACACACAAAAGGTGTGTATTTCCCTTCTCCTCGTTTCCTGATATAATTCTCAGAAAGTGTTGCCAGTTTTGTTTCTATGGGTTTCTAGGGATCAAAACCAAGACTACCAGATGAGTACCATCTCTGAAATAAGACTAATATTAATGTCCATCTAGCTGGGTCTCTTATGTACACTTAGTAGTGCAGTATCGTTATATTTCCTTTCTTGAAAACATCTTTCCCAGACCTGATA